GTCTTCAATGAGGGCAAGGCGTTCTGTTTTATTCTCTGTTTCGAATCCCTTTCACTGATATTTGTCAAAAATCATGAATCGTATGATATGGCTTTTGTTTTGTCGTCACTTATATAAACTGGTGTGTAATTGTTTTGGTCGAACAAATTACTCGAAAGATTATCTAATTGGAGTTGGCGAATGATGTAATTGGTTGAGAAGGATAGATGTGTCATTGTCCCAATTTTCATGTTCGAATGTCGTTGGAGAGAAATGATGCAATTTAATTACAATAAAATTATCATCCGCTTCAAAATGGATGTAATTTGGTCGAATGGATAGTGAAATAATTTGAATACAAAAAAAACTACTCGAGAGATTAAATAAAATTGGTGCGAAAATTTGATTCCTCAAGTTGAATATGCATTTGCTATGACATCACACATACACAATGATGACATATAATATCATGTATATATGATCGAATTTTATCCCGTCGACGTCTGCATGAGAAATTTGATTTTACTATATGATTCCTTCGTTATCGAATCACGTAACCGGGAGAAAAAGTCAACTTTTTTGTTGTTGTTATAGTGTTTTTTTTCCTCCTTTCAGATATTTCAATCTCTCGCCACAAAATGGTAGGTGGTATAACGTTATATATAAAATCTGGACCGTCGTTTTTCAAAATTAATCAAATGATGTTCTTTTCATTTACCTAAAGAAACTAAAGTGAAGTTAAAGTAATTTTTTTATTCAAAATTAAACAAATGATGGACCTTAGGTTTCCTTTGCGTATGCCCATGTCCTAGAAGAACTTGTAGAGGTTTGAAATTTTGGTTATAAGAGGCATACATATTTAGACCTTTATATATATATATATATATATATATATATATATATAGCTCAAACCTAAATTAACATAACTAGAACGATACAATGGACACACACACACACATATACATATATTTATGAACATGCTAATAAAACAAAATTGCTATGTCAAGTGGGCTCTACGTTATTTCTTCAATTTATATGTATTAGCAATAAAAAGTGGCGTTTACACGAATCTGATATAAAGCCGAAGGAAATCAACCTACAGAATATGACTATTTTGCAACTTTTCTTGCACTTTATAATTTCGTTTCAGAGAAAGCGATGCGGGAATACATACGTACATATGTGTGTGTGTGTATATATGTATGTATATGTATGTATATATATCAGTTCCAAGTATACTATACTGCTCACACTCAGTCTAGGCAGCAGGGCTCGACAGTCACAGACCCAATAACACAAAGACACATCAGTATACTATTTATAGGATGTGGTCTGAAATGTTTTGGAATTGACTGACCGATTAGTTTCCGATTTCGGAAAGCGACAAGCTCACACGGAATACGAACGTTGCTCCAAAGCGATAATGCATATAATTTCATATACAAGTATAAATATATATATATATATATAGCAAGTTTTTACATTAGAGGAATAAATATATTCTTCTCACTCTAACCACTGCCCTCTTTTGTTCTAAATACATTCGATAATTTGCCCTAACGACGATGTGTAAGAGCGCATGTATTATGTGTCATCGAATCTAATTGTCGTGTGATGGCCATTTGGTTCATTTCAAATGTATTTTACCACAAAAAAAAAAAATTTGTTACACCTGAAATTGTATATTGTGTAATTTTTTCTTCCTTCAATTATTTAATAGGATTTTAATGCTTTTAATTCGTTTCACCCTAACCATATATTTAAACCTGTTCACACGGGTCATGTTGTGAAGAAGGGGGTGTGGTTGCTTGGTCCACATAATAACCATGAGAGTGAATGTTGAACCAAAATTATGCCATAGACTTGTTATGAAATTTTTATCTGTTTTTGTACCGTGTGATATCGATGTTAGGAATTAATTCTCGTGTCATATTCATCTTTTACGACTTCATACATAATATATGATTTGATTTTCATTTCGATCGATGTCACACAAAAAGGAAAACAGTATAACCCTATAATCAACAGGAAATATCGCATTCAAAGCCATAATCGTCGCGGAGGTCTCTTTTATTCAACTAAATGCCTTTTGAATATAGAGTCCATTCCGTACATGATATATATATATATATTTCCCTTATTAAAACGCCATCACTATAATCAAATATTAGAGATATATATGATTATCTAATATCAAATCATGTTATATTATTTTTTTTACGTACTTTATAAATACATGTACAGAAATTAAAGATGGTTACGGGGTCAGTTTTCAGAGCAACCGAGAGATTAATCCCGTATCCTTTCGACAATTGACTTCTCTATAAAGTAAATATAATTCAATTTCATGTGTTAAGACATGATCCTCTCACAACATTTGTCACGTGTCTTTTGCGTAAAACTTAAGACACAAAATAACTTTGAATTTATACATACATATATATATAATGTTCACTGAAAATGCTTATACACTTACAATTTAGCTTCTTTACTATGTATATTTGGTCCGACTATACTCCTGAAAACTGTAGCTATATTTTATCGATCGCTAACAAATAATAATACTATTCCCTCCATTCCTGAATAGATATCATTTAAAAAAATTATTTAATACATGTCTTTTAGATTTCTAGACGATTATTTTACGAAAATTTCTAATTTTATCTTTAATTAAATATGCTTAAATTCACAAAGTATTAATGACAAAATATTTTAATGAGATCGTATATAAGACTTTTTTTATATCTTTTTAAAAGGTGCAAAAAATCTAAAACAACATTTATTTAGAAGTTTTTTGGAAATATCAATAGAATATTCACTTATTTATCTTGAGATGCAAATCAATTAATGTAATGAAAACAAAAATAAAATAAAAAAGAGAAACTTTCTACAAGAATATTGAGTAATAATAATTTGGTATATATGGTCACAAACACGTAACTTTAATCATATCCATATCGTTGGATCGGGTACACATGAATGATTTGTATTTGGTAAATATAAGGATATACACTTATTGTTTTCTTTTTCTTTTTCGGCCTTGGAATTCTAGCCGTATGTAATTTGGCACCTTCCGTGGCGGAATAAACTGCATCAGATTCCCTAGTAACCAAAATAGTTAAATTAGCAAAAGGTCGCTTACAGAAACTAATAATGTAATTAATTACTTTGATTTACAAGACGACATGTTGTTGTACGTTAACAATTCCTTCTTCATTGATTGAGAAAAGGGCCCTGATGAATTTTCACTAACCAATTGTAATATCATCCAACTTAATTATGCAACTATATATATATATACATATAATAAGGTCACAAATGAATGGATTGTTCTTTCTAGTCATACTAATATATATATTTTTTTTGTTAACGGTAAATGCATAAATATAAATATGAATATTCTTACAATAGGAAACCGTTGCACACGGAGAGAATGAAATTGGACCCTCTGAACGTCGGTGAAGCTCGGATCAAAGTAGAAATACAACTCGGATCGATTCTTCCTAGGGTAATCGAAGTGGAAGATGATAAAGGGGAAGTGGTAAATGTGGATGCTATCTATTAATATATATATAAACTACTAATTAAATGTTGGGTTAGAATATAATACAAATATTATTGATTTGAAGATCATTGCAGGAATCCCAATCTCTATATACGTGAAATTATTGAAGGAGGCAAATGATGAACTTTTAACATAAAGGCACTTGCTTTTCTATTAGTTTTATGTCTTGTTTTGCATGGAAAAGGATAGCCCACGCTTCTTATAAAAAAAAAAAAAAAAGGATAGCTCACGCTTTTCTCACCTCGCACGAGAAGCCAAAAACCCACACTGTGAAACAAAATACACAAATACATATATATATATATATTATATATATATATATGTTACTGCTTATTATAAAAATGTTACTTCTGCTTCTTGAATTGAGAAAATGTGTTATTTATTTTCAATTAAACAAGAGGTATGTATGTATGTATAGTGGCCGAAAATAATTTATAATCAGGGCATTGTACGGATAAATTTAATTTCATTATAGGGTATTTAATGATTTTAATTAAATTTTTATATAATTTATAAAAAAAAATTAAATATTTTTTTTTTTAATTTAAAAGTGAGAATATATGACCCCATTACCTTGTACATGACCCCGCCCATGTATGTATGTAAGCATGAAGTAAATCAGATATTGTAGTATATACAATATCATATACCATATGACGTGTGGGCACCAACCCAATTTGTCGATGTAAACGTCACGAGTTTACGTTACATTAACATAAATTAATAGCACAATTAACATATGTACATAACACAATATTTTATTGTTTTTTATAACAGTAAAAAAGTAAGGGAAAGTAAGAAAAATAAGAAGAGAATCACGACTTTTCTCGAAAAAGTTTTTGTAGAGAGGAAAAAGGAATACGAAATACATCGAATAATCAAAATTATGAAATAAAAATATAGAGATATTTACCTTTTGGCCATGCCGTAGAAAACATTAGGTTTTACAGTTTGGATATATGAAAAGTAAATCAATTAAATCATATATAATTATAATAAAATTTAGTTAATTTAAAACAAATTAATAAGATGCGATCATTTTAATTTCGAATTAAAATAATTATTTAAAAAGACTAGACAAAATATATTTTTTAATAAATATGGATGTAAAATAGATATTCTGTATACAAATAGAATAAGTATAAAATCAAAATATAATCCAAAATCCAAATTTCCTATGGAATTAGCTTGAAATTGATTTATATGAAACAAAATTTCTTGGTCGAGGCAAAAAGCCAAAAATAGAGATAAAGTTAGTCCCCGTTGATGGCTCATCAGAAACAGTAATAAGAGTGTGAAAGCTATTTATTATCTGCATGTGCCTCTTCAAAAATTAATTTAAAATAAAAATATAAAGGAATCTTGTGTTTTGGGCCACTTGCTTCCGTCACAAGCATTAAATCTACATTTTAATGTAGAGAGATGGATTCGAACCCGCGACCTCAGACCCCACGGTAAATGGTTTTACCGCTGAGCCAAGTCGGTAAAATGAAGCTCAGTAAATAACACAATTAAACAATTACTTGGCACAATCTAAATGAAGTCTTCTTGTCCAGATGTTCACACATAACACAAGGTTCATACTTTATTTCCTGAAATCAGAAAATGAAAAGCATAAAATTAACTATTGGACAACAGTGAGCATGGCAACAAAGCTGTGAGTTGAGGCAGAAACAGCAAACCTCAAAAAGTTCTATTTCTTGATCAGGGGCAAAGCCAGCCATTTCATTCAGTTTTTCAATAATATCCATGGGCTTGCTGGAATTTTTCACCATGAGTCGACCAACATATCTGGCAGAACAAAGAAGAGAGTTATGAAAGATTCAAGAAAGGAAATGAGGTCTAGTTGATCAACTTGAAATCGAGGAGTAATGGATAGAAAAGGGTAATGCATTGAAAACTTTTTCACTTGAAAAGAAAAGGAAAGAAGGAACTTTCTTTTAGAAGATAATAAATTTATTAGTCATAGTGGGCAATCCAAGAGGAATTGAAGAAAAGGCTGGAAAATAATGTTACCTTATTTCTGCCTTTTCAGGATCATAAAGCTTAAAGAATAGAAGAATATCATCCTTCGATTTGTCCGGAGGAGGAATAGGACGCAAATCCTGAATTATTCAAGAGTTAGAAAACTTTTAGCTTTTCTTCCCTGTTGATCAGTCTATCAGATTCTCATTCAGTTATACGTCTCAAAAATTAAACTTTTCAACAAAGTATTCTTACGGGTCCACGCTCTACTTCCAAAAACAGCTTTAAATCCGCATTGTTTGCCTTGTTTGATGCCTCTCTTATTTGTCCAACCTATAAACGTATCTTAAATAAGTATACCGAATAAACACATCATAAAAAAGACAATTGGGTTATGCATAAAGAAATCGGCAGGGAGACTCCTCATATATTAAGTAAAAAGTCAACTAATGCTGTTAACCTTTGCACAGGGCGTGATGAACTCCTCTTGGTAACAAACAGAAAAACATGGGCATGAGAGCTCCAAAAAGAATGGTGAAATAAAGGACCCAAAAATTAATTCTGCATATTAGAGATTATACTTCTACAGAGTATAACAGATGTGCAGGTTTTAAACATAGTTGCATAGTATTTACTGTAAATCCAAATTTGAGCAAAAAGAGTAATTCCAGCTGAAAGCTGTGAACCATAGGTTCTAAAATGAGTAAAGAGCAGGAATAAACTACCGGCTGTAACTCCTCCTGAGGCGTTAGGGGTCGATTGGGACGATAGGTATGGTTTTGTCGTTTTGCCCAGATCCAGAAGCGCTGAAATTGAACCGGAATACCGAATTCTTTGGCAACTTCTTCCTGCAGTCCAGCAGAATATTGGAGATCAACAATTGATACTCATTACACAATGAAACCAGATGAAGTACAAGGGACTATTACACTAGCAACAACATAATTACAAGAAAAAACAAACAGGAATACTCTGCATAAGTCACTATAGACCTTAAGCAAAGACAGGTATAGTGAAAGAAACACAATTGCAGCATCTTTCAGAAATTCGGAGAAAATGAAAATAATTATCTCTGCATTTTGTCAGTCAAAGTAAAGATCTACGCTACCAAAAAGAAGCTTCTTTGCAAAACACATCTTCTACAAAAGAAGAAAATTCAGAGAACGAACATATTCTGGTGAGTACCTTAAATTGTTGAAAGGGTGTCTGTTTCTGAATTCGGAAACTACGAACTTTGTCATGATCAACAAGATCAAAATAAATATCCTTCCCAATTTGTTCAGCAAGGTCTTCAACTCTTGCAACCTATATACATTCATAAAATGCATAAATAACGTTCTTGAGAGAGAAAGAGAAGAGGAATGGCTTTCTCAAAGATACATCAGTTCTCAATATCATATAACAATTTAATTATATAGGCAAACCTTAATTATTGTGAAAAGGTGTGCCTGTGCCTTGTATCTTCTCTTGTCTTCCTTTTCTTGTTGTTCTTTCTTCAGCCTCACCTGTCATTACATATTGAATGGAGTCAGGTCAAATAATGGCATTGGCATGCATAATTAAGGCAAACAGATGTCAGAATAAACACTTTTACCCTTAGATGTTCCGCAATGTCCTTCTCGTCGACGTTGCAAATTATTTTATCCTTATCGCTTTCACGAATATATACAAGCATGTATGCATTCGAGTACTTGGTGAATTTGAAAGGAGGGTTATTGAAACCAGGGTTAGTTTGTGGCAACTGAAGGGACACCAAAGAAGAAAGCATGTGAGGCGACCAAAGAATTGAGCACAGCAGGTAAAACAAAGAAAAACAAGCGACAGAATCCTACCTCTTCCTCCCCACCGTATTGCTCTTCCAATGCCCTTTTCATATCTTCCTTAGTTACACGCTCATCGTCAAATTTATACCTGCACAGTTAAGAGGTTAAGTGGTCCAAAAAAAAGTAAAGATAGAATACATTATACATTCATCTAGCCCTCTGAAACTAATACTGAAGATCACTGCGAATGATTCTAATCTTGCACAATATTGACGACTTGGCGCGCTAGAATCTCAATCCATTACACCCGCTTGAAACTCCAAAATTAATATTTGTATATTAAAAACGTGTCTTCGACTTTTAAACTGTTACATTTGCTTAAAACTCTTACTTTTAAGACTAAAGACCTAGAAGCAAAAACTCTTGCAGAATGTTAATCTAGATCCTGTTCATGGATCTTCATTCTCAAGCCTCCTCACACTCTTAACATGCTTGTAAATTTTGTTTTAGGCAACAGCAGAAAGGTCCTCCGAAAACATGAAGGTCAAGCAGATACAGATACAAGTAAATAACTATAAGCAAGATTCAAATATGATAACAAGCATAAAAGAGACAATAAAGGTTATTGACAAAAGAGATGCATACCACTGATCAGAGAGAGTTGGCCTTATAAAGGCATAATAGTGACCACCATGCACTCCTCCACTATGAACTAAGACACTGCAGAAAAATGAGAAGGTCAACCGCGCAAACGAGAAACAACTAAATGAAACCATGTACTTTTTTTGTGTCTTTCACTCGTATACCAGCTAGAAGACAGACAGCAGCATTGATATACTGGCACATATATGCTACTTAGTATTCATGTGAAATGGAGACCTAAACAACAGAAGGCAGATTCCAATTTCTGTGAGACAAGGAACCTAGTAAACAATCAATGGAGCTAAAACAAAATTATGATGAAAGACAGCCTATATATATTCCACAGTAGCATCGTATAGAGAAGCTAAACCTTCGGTGCAAACTCCTCTGGAAAGTGGACATTGCTATCAACTATACCTAACCGCAAATTTAGAAGAGAATAAGTACAAGGGAAATAATACCTATGGCCTTGTTTGATGCCTCTCTTATTTGTCCAACCTATAAACGTATCTTAAATAAGTATACCGAATAAACACATCATAAAAAAGACAATTGGGTTATGCATAAAGAAATCGGCAGGGAGACTCCTCATATATTAAGTAAAAAGTCAACTAATGCTGTTAACCTTTGCACAGGGCGTGATGAACTCCTCTTGGTAACAAACAGAAAAACATGGGCATGAGAGCTCCAAAAAGAATGGTGAAATAAAGGACCCAAAAATTAATTCTGCATATTAGAGATTATACTTCTACAGAGTATAACAGATGTGCAGGTTTTAAACATAGTTGCATAGTATTTACTGTAAATCCAAATTTGAGCAAAAAGAGTAATTCCAGCTGAAAGCTGTGAACCATAGGTTCTAAAATGAGTAAAGAGCAGGAATAAACTACCGGCTGTAACTCCTCCTGAGGCGTTAGGGGTCGATTGGGACGATAGGTATGGTTTTGTCGTTTTGCCCAGATCCAGAAGCGCTGAAATTGAACCGGAATACCGAATTCTTTGGCAACTTCTTCCTGCAGTCCAGCAGAATATTGGAGATCAACAATTGATACTCATTACACAATGAAACCAGATGAAGTACAAGGGACTATTACACTAGCAACAACATAATTACAAGAAAAAACAAACAGGAATACTCTGCATAAGTCACTATAGACCTTAAGCAAAGACAGGTATAGTGAAAGAAACACAATTGCAGCATCTTTCAGAAATTCGGAGAAAATGAAAATAATTATCTCTGCATTTTGTCAGTCAAAGTAAAGATCTACGCTACCAAAAAGAAGCTTCTTTGCAAAACACATCTTCTACAAAAGAAGAAAATTCAGAGAACGAACATATTCTGGTGAGTACCTTAAATTGTTGAAAGGGTGTCTGTTTCTGAATTCGGAAACTACGAACTTTGTCATGATCAACAAGATCAAAATAAATATCCTTCCCAATTTGTTCAGCAAGGTCTTCAACTCTTGCAACCTATATACATTCATAAAATGCATAAATAACGTTCTTGAGAGAGAAAGAGAAGAGGAATGGCTTTCTCAAAGATACATCAGTTCTCAATATCATATAACAATTTAATTATATAGGCAAACCTTAATTATTGTGAAAAGGTGTGCCTGTGCCTTGTATCTTCTCTTGTCTTCCTTTTCTTGTTGTTCTTTCTTCAGCCTCACCTGTCATTACATATTGAATGGAGTCAGGTCAAATAATGGCATTGGCATGCATAATTAAAACTCATGAGATAAATATTCCAAAATTGCTTTTAATCTGTTTCCATTTATTAAAGTAAATTATATGTGTATATTAAGATGCAAAGATTAATGAATTCACCATAAAAGAAATAAAATATTTTTAATATGCTATGTAGGTTGGAAGCAAACACATCACATTATCAATATATAATACACATATAATTTACTTTAATAAATGGAAACAGATTAAAAGCAATTTTGGAATATTTATCTCATGATTTTACTAACTTTTTTGGAGAAAACTAAGACTTAAGAATTTTTTTTTATTGTAACACAATTAATCTGGTTATAACACGCTAAAAGGTCTCGTGCTGGTGTGTGAGGAATATATATATATATATATATATATACACACTCATTTATGGGGGCATATAAATGCCTCTAGTAGACAATTCATATAAATATATGTAACATTTATTTTTATTTCAGTTTAAAAAATTCCTCCACTAATGTTATATACAAATTTGATGGATAATCAATTTCATTGGACTATGAGGTAGAAATCACGTAAATCCCCCTAACAGTCGTTAGAACTCAGTTTATTATCATGCATATGCATGGTCAAATTGAAAATTGTTATTCAAATAAAGTAGAGCCGAATTTATCTGATTAGCATTTTTTTTTGTAATTCAATACGTCATCGAGATGTCATATTACGGACAATATTATTATTATTATTATTATTATTATTTTTATAAATGGCAGGTTTCCCATTTTCCGCTGGTATTTGCACCTCTTATTAAACGGTGTTTCCAAATTAGCTAATTAAATTCAATTAATTAGCGTTAGCTACTAAGTAAACATCAAGTATTAGTATTAATAATCCTCTCTCTCTCTCTCTCTCTCTCTCTCTCTCTCTCTACAAATATATCTATATATATATATATAAAACTGGAAACCCCATTTCTGAAATAACATAAGATCCTTCTTTTTATTATTTTATTATCATAAGACGTCGGCGTCACAAGTTACTTTACCGCAAGGGACTTAACCAAAATAGAGGAAATAATATGAAATGTTGCCAAATTAGTGATGGAAGCACATTAATTTCAATGCGTTGGTGCATCCAATTCGAACAATCTTCCCGAAGCACTTGACACATTTTTGGACTCACTCCCCGAAAACAGATTATGTCCAAGCGAAATATGGGTCTCCCCAAAATTAGAACCCTCTATAATTTCTTACACAAACTTCACGTAAAGTTGGCTAAAATTTCAAACCCTTCTAATTTTTTTATATATACATATATTGGGATTTAATTATAATTAAAAGAGAATGTAATTAGAGATTTATATATATACGAATCTCTGATATTTTTTTTATCTCGAGTATACTTTTGTTATAGATTTACCTTTACTACTTTAGTTTCCTAGTAGGATGAGGATTCTCGATGTCTCATTGTATATATACATTGTTTGATGAACGGAAAACTCAAGGTTGATTCCGCATATTTTGTCATGGTATCGGTCCCCGCAATTTATTGATTTTTTTTATTTAATAAAAAAGAAGAAGAGATCAAATTTCACCGTCATAGTTTGAGTCTTCCCATCAATCTCTTGCATTTATAATATTATCAGAAATTTATTATTGGAGATTATATGGTTGTTGTTGTTTGAAAAAAAAAAGAAGAAGAGGAAATGTGAATCAACAAATGTGTTTATACGATTAATAGATGTCAAGCTAGAAAACCTAACTTTGATCTTAGAGTGTAAAACCGGTTTAAGCTAGAGATATAAGGTCACTGTTTAGTTAGAGATGTAATTTTATGAGAAAATAATTTCCTGCTTTTAAATATTTAAGGACATCGTTCTAACAATATAGAATCATATCTTTATAATAAAAAAAACAATACAGAATCATATAAATTATAAATATTAAAATATGGCTCTAAATATAGACATTTAAGGATATATATCTAAGTAGAATTCATTTTTTTCAGTCCGAGTAGTCCATTATATATGTATATATATGGACGTAAGCAAACGTGAAGTCTTAATTAATAAATTTTTTTTCATGAAAATAATTAGAAAAGACCCAATTAAAGAGAAAATGATGATGATGACTTTAACATGGGAGTTAGTTAATGTAAATTGACGGGTCACAAATAAAATCAGGAAAATAAGCAAAGAGCATTAAATCTTAATCACCATTAACTAATACTCCATTGTAAATTGAAGTGAATTCGTGTTACAACGTTGATTATTTTGGTGTGATATTATTCACTCTAGCTACCGTCTCCTACCTTATGAAAGCCAATGAAATCCAAGGCTCTCTGATCTCTCTCTCTCTATATATATATATATATTTATGTGTGTGTGTGTGTGTGTGTAAAATTGACACAAATGTTTCAACTAACTTAATTACACCTTTCATTTGCTAATTTTGAACCAAATGATTATTAATTGTATATGGGTTTACAATGAAAAAGAAAATCGTATGCATATGGACAAACCAGAGTCCACATATATATCGCCCTAATATAAATGATTACAAACTTTGCCGTACATTAATTATTCACACACGTCCACACACGTACATATATACATATATATACATATATATATGCGGCTTTGAAATTGGAAATTGAGCGTCGAATTAATGGTTCTTGATCGCGGAGGATAACACTGCTATTAATTAATTAAAGATATTACAAGATATAACATTATTAATTAATTAAAGACTTTATCTTGTGCAGAGCGAGTAATCTTAGTTAAGCCTAGCTATATATTCACCGAATACAATATTTCTTGATTAGAAAATAAGATTCCGGTTAAATTTATTCATATTTGGTTTTGAAGATTTCATATGGTCTCACAAAAAATAATCGAGAATTTTTATGGAGTGGGAAGAGAACTATTGGAATTAATGCAGCATGTGCTTTCAAAATTAAATATCTGATTCATATGAACTAATTAAAGTAATTTCCGGGATGTGTGTGAGTGATGACAAAACACGCTAAAAGGTCTCGTGCTGGTGTGTGAGGACAACTTTGACATTCCGTACGTAGCGGCCTCGGATCGTTACAATCTGCATATAAGAGCATATATCATTATAAAACTATATATCGATTTATACCTTTGATAAAGGTGTATGAAATTATGTACGTTAGCTTTGCCTTTTAAAAGAGAAAAACAAAAAATTAGAAGAAGGGACTAATCCACGTTGTAACGATGTTTTTCATGAAGTGGGATCGTGCTTAGTTCAAAGAATGGCTCGAGTTCAATCGAAATCCATCTTTATGTCCTTTTCAAATCAGTGCGAAGATTTCAACATTTGCTTCGTTTGACGGCAACCCCCGATTTTGTTATTGTTATAAAGTCTTGTTTAATTAACAGATAAAAGGGATCCCATTCGATTATCCTCTTATATATATATATACATACACACGTACTTATATCGTATTTCTATAGATGAAATGCAACCAACTGTTTACGTAAGAAGAGTACGTAAAAATGAAATTAATTTTTAAAAATTTAGTCGAATCAGACGGGGGATCTGTATCGTTTGTGCCATCTATTCTACTGTACCAATTCGCTAAAAGCTATGCAATTTGTGTCCGTGTTTTGAAGTCCTCCATGGACCCAACGAAGAGATAAAGATTGAGAGAGAGAGAGAGAGAGAGAGAGAGAGAGAGAGAGAGAGAGAGAGAGAGAATCTCCAAAAGAACTTTGATTTTTATATTATTATATATTTTAAAAAAAAAGGACAGCAGTATTTCAGTTTTTTTGAAAACAGTGAACGGCGACGACAATATCTGTCTGAAGAGAGTGTTTACGGTTTTTGTACACACGTGGAATTTTACGGAAGATATGTGGAATATGTATTATGGGTCTTAGCGCTTTTTCTACTTTGAAATTGATATTCTATTAATAAAAGTATATTTATAATTTCAATGTGAACAGTGACTCAACGCCCAATATATCTCACATTGTTCAGTTGCAAATCATACACACGAATCATATAAATTATGCAATTATTGGAGATTACTTATAGTATATCTGTTTTTTTTCTTGGTAAATGATTACTTATACATCTGTATATATATGTATACACACACGAATGGTCCGTTAGATTCACCGTGAATTACCATGATTTGCATGAAAACACACCATAGACAAAGGCAACATGTAGTCGATTGTCTTTTCCTCCATATATACATCGAACTCCACTAAAACCCTAAATTTCGAAACCCTAAGTAATTCTAGTTCATGCAAACACAAAAAACACATCGCCCTGTTTGCATAATTCTTATATAAAATAGAAAAAAAATACATGGATATGTATAGAAATTCAATATAATCGAACCGATATATAATTAACCTCAATAACTTTCTTCAATAAATGTTGGATTATACTAGTCTATATAATATACAAAGCAAAAAGAAAATCGAACTCCCATGTCAGATATTGGGTTCAAACTTTAAAAGTGTAATCAACGAGATTAATTTGAATAACTTTTAATTTGTCTTAATGATAGAAGCTTTTTCCTTAGCGGGACCCATACGTACTGCATGGATGACACGTGTACAAAGAGAAGAGGTCACAGCGGTGATTCTCTTATAAGCCACACAGCTCTGACTGAGGGGAAATCGCAGCTTTTAGCCTTTTTTCCCACACAAACCCTAAAAACTGGGCCACACTGATGTTGCACCCACCTTCCCTCATTTATTATCACTCACTCTTACCAGTTTTGTTATATTTTTTATTTTAATTATTTCAATTATTATATCATCTCTTTTTTTTATTATTGCTTTAAATTTTCAACGTGTTTCTTTTTTATATAATTATGATGGGTACACATCATTTGGTGAATGAAGGAAAATCACTGGTGCACACTGCAGTTAGGGCTAGTGATTTTATAATTAATTCAGCCAAAGGGTGTGGCTCTCTCTTCCTCGTTTTCCTTGTGCTTTGATCTCCCATTTCTCTGCTATATAAAGCTTTCATATATACATATTCTCTTTTTCAGAGAGAGAGAGAGAGAGAGAGAGATGGGGCATCACTCATGCTGCAACAAGCAGAAGGTGAAGAGAGGGCTCTGGTCTCCGGAGGAAGACGAGAAGCTCATCAACTACATCACCACTTACGGCCATGGATGCTGGAGCTCTGTTCCCAAACATGCAGGCACCTCACCTACACCTATACACACACACACACACACACACATATGTATATACGTTCACACGTTTCTTGAATTGTGTACATGAAGGATTCTTTCTTGAGTTCTCTTGCATTTTTATTTTGTCTTCTCTCTTCACAGCTTTTGTTTTTTTTCCCTCTCTTTTGCAGCACATATATATACATGATAGACCCGTTAGTTTATTTTATAATATGATGGATATTCCTTTTTTTATTTACTGGTGTGTTTTATTATTAGGTCTGCAAAGATGTGGGAAGAGCTGCAGGCTTCGATGGATTAACTATCTGAGACCTGATCTCAAACGCGGAAGCTTCTCTCCTCAAGAAGCCGCCCTTATAATTGAACTCCATAGCGTTCTTGGTAACAGGTTTGTTGATAATCCAAACGTTACATACATACATATATATATATATATATATATATATATATATATATGATTCTTTTTTCCATATATGATATGATATATGATCCGTACAGATGGGCTCAGATAGCGAAGCACCTGCCAGGGAGAACAGACAATGAAGTGAAGAATTTTTGGAACTCGAGCATAAAGAAGAAGCTCATGTCTCATGATCATCTCCATCATCATCATCATCATCATATCTCTACCATGGCAAGCTTGATCCCCAACTTTCATCTTCCTCATCGCCATCATCATCACAATGGATTCGTGAACAATGTCAATCACCAAGGCGGCGGAGATGAAGCTTCGGGATTGTTCTCCCTCCTCACAAACACAAACCCTAGTTTCATCACTCCCAACCATATTAACCATCATCTCTATCTTCCTCCTCCCGCCATTTCTCCAATCATGTTCCAAAGCTTTGGTCATGGAGATTTCAAGCTTAACCACACAAACCAAGCTCCAAACCCGTACGATCTTGATAATCTGGTCATCACTTCCACAAATCACCAACCTTTACTTCCGTCTGATCCTAATATAATCCTTCCCCGTTATTCAGATTCGTCTTCAGAATTCGATCATCAGCCCCGATGGCAATTACCAGATTTTCCAGCCTCAATTTCTACCACTTTCCAAGAAACCCGAGTTCTCGAAACATTTCAAGATTATGTCGGCCACAATGACAAGATCTTCATTGATCCAATCGTCTCTCTAACACCGTACCACGATGATAATGAGGTCCATGTTGCTGTTCATCATCCATCGGTCACTACAGGAGTGATCCCAAGCGCAATGTCAAAGTTATCAGACGAGGTTCTTGAAGGGAAAGTGCCGTCCTACCCACATGACTTGCACGTGCCTGTTGTGGATCATGATCATGATCACCAAGTAGAGTCATACATCAATTCCATGATCATGCCATCATTGCCATCATCATCATCATCTCCGTCATCATCGCCCATCTCCAGTGGACGGTACGTGGCTACTGTTCCAAACCCTGCAGCTACTGCCATTACTAGTGTGTCTACATGGGATCCCTAGACATATGGATAATAAAAAAATAGAATTATATTATGCATATATATATATATATATATATAAGAGGGAGGGAGAGACATAAATAATCATCCATATGTGTTGATAAATCTTTTACAATGCATAAAGCGTATAGTATAAGGATATGCTATTTGTTCATTAAATATTTCCAAAGATTTGCATTTATTGTTAGTGAAGGAAAACCTAAATGTTACTGATTCAGGTTCTTCGTGTGAGTAATGAAGGACTATATATTGCAGTGTTCGTCAATAATCACATAATCTTTAGTCCTTTTTAATTATACATCATGACTACATACATACGTACATACATATACACATATATGCATATGTAGGTATGTATGTGTATGTATGTGTGTATATATGTATATATATGTGCTATGTAGGCGTCACCTACACATGCGTGTGTGTGTATATATATGGTCAGTTTGTTTTGTCTTTCAGTAATGTGAAGGAGTACTACTCTTGCTCTGCATCTTTGATTTGTCACTTATTGCTCTCTCTCTCTCTCTCTCTCTCTCTATATATATATATATATATATATATATATATTATTTGTGGGGTCTTTTAAGGACAGATTATTCAATGCAATTTTCATGTACAAACATTTTGGTCAACTTGGTGATATTTTCCTTAGACAATAATTTATTTTCTAGTGATCCCCCCGTGAGATTCTCTTTCGAAACGCTCCAAAACTTCTTACAAATGGACAGAAACATATTATATGTATAATGTATATAACAAGTTTTGTAATTACCGACTTCTAATTAACACTGCAATCACGATTCTTAGATATTTGGAGAATCTTCCACATTATTTTACATCTTTTAACTTTTCGCCATATACTTTGTATTTTTTTTCTCTCTCTCTCTCTCTCTCTCTCTCTATATATATATATATATATATATATATATTATTTGTGGGGTCTTTTAAGGACAGATTATTCAATGCAATTTTCATGTACAAACATTTTGGTCAACTTGGTGATATTTTCCTTAGACAATAATTTATTTTCTAGTGATCCCCCCGTGAGATTCTCTTTCGAAACGCTCCAAAACTTCTTACAAATGGACAGAAACATATTATATGTATAATGTATATAACAAGTTTTGTAATTACCGACTTCTAATTAACACTGCAATCACGATTCTTAGATATTTGGAGAATCTTCCACATTATTTTACATCTTTTAACTTTTCGCCATATACTTTGTATTAGTTAAAAAACCTCAAAAATCCTTGCTAGATAGAAGTAGGGATGGTTTCGTTTATCATTTCCATGCAAATCCTTGAACTCTAATCTTAAATTCCATCTTTGGTTCGGAATTTGTTGAGTTTTCTTCCATTCATGGACAAATTCCTCATATATAAAGCATCATATGATCTAGTCCTTGAAGAGAAAATTTTATCACTTGATTTCGAACCCTAATCTTCTAACAATATCGAAATCATATAAATATGATTTGAAAGTAGTCCATTATTACATATTCTCCAATGTCTTCGGATCTAAACACATTCAACTCAACAATCCAAGACTACTTCCTATAGTTGTTCTTGTTGAGAGGCGACTCAATCTTCTGCGATTCTTCGTGTTAAAAATACAATGCCACTTTGTTTTGAGTGTGTGTGTGTATATATATATAAATACACACATTGTGTGTGTATGTACTCATAAAAAAAAATGTATGTATGTACGTATGTATGTATGTATGTATGTATATATGTATGTATGTGGTTTTAGATTGTAGTGTATATGGATGAAGAAGAAAATTTTTGGAAAATACAACGAGCAAGCTTTCTTGAAGTAGCAATAAGCCTCTCTCTCTGTCGCAGAAAATTGGCCCGACCACATAACCAAATTAGATTTTTTTTTTTTGGAATTTTTTCGTGGCGGATGAATTGGTGATGTTGTTTTATTTAGGAGGGGCAAGTTTTGGCATGGGTACAAGGAGCAAACAAAATCTTTCCTCCTTTTATAATTTTTTTTATTTAAAAAAATGGACTCTCGTAATTCCCAATTAATGTTTTACCCTTTGGACCACAAGCTCGAGGTTGTGGACCGTCAAACAACAAAGCAGGAAAACTATAGAATTAACTTAACAGTGTATAGGCCTAATTAATCGGTATTAATTTTGATAACACTAATGGACAAACACATTCAACTAAAGTAGTCAAACTACTATCTATTTTCTTTTCTCTTTTTCATTTTTTTATTAACCGCGAAATTTGCTATACATTCGACTCAACTCAACTAATCTTTTAGACTCGCAGATAATCTTTCAAGCAAGTTACACCATCCTCTCTAATCCGTTATTCGAACATAAAATCTGTGGGACATGTGATACCCCAACCATACTTTACAAAGTTACCACGGTAAAGTTGGATAATTACCAACTATTTTCGATAGATCATAACTACAACATTAGTTAGTGATCATTTTGGTTCTATTATCCAAAAACTAAACTAATTCGAGCCTAATAATATTTAAATTGAATAAAAATAAAGCCAAATGAGTATTATTTATCTAAATTTGAAGAAAAACTAAATTCAAACCGAATATAAAATAACCTAAAACCGATATTTAAAAATAATAATAATAAATAGTACGACCAGTAAAAGCGAATTTAACATAATTTTTCTAAAATCGAAAATACCAAAACCAATCCAAAATAGCAACGACGAGGTTTACATCTGAAATCATATTTTATGGATTAATATACAATGCCGATAAAAAAAATATACACAACATATCAGAAAAAGTGGGAAAGCATGTGCATGCATGCTATCATATGTGTTCACACAAGGATGTCAAAACGAACCGAACTCGCGAGTCAATTCGAGGTTGACTCTTTTTTTACCAAGTTGAGTCAAGAATATCTGAACCCGAATAAAAAATTGGTCGAGTGTGCCAGCTCACCACGAGCCGAGTCCAAACGAGCTAGCTCGATCGCCTCGTGAGCTGACTTAAAAAAAAATTAGAATTTCTTACGTTGAAACTTGAAAGTGTTGATATTGGTTGGTATGGTATTTTGATTTGGAGATAATTTTTTTGTACATGAATTAGGATCTGAATATGGTTTTTTTGGTCATGAATTAAGATCTGATTGTACATGGAAAAATTAAGATCTGAAGATAGTTTTTTGTACATGGATGGATTGTGATCTGATCTATTTGGAGATGCTTTTTCGTACATGGATTGTGAATATACATATGTTTTGGATGTATTAATATGTTCTTTTTATGTTGATGTATCATTTGGATATGGTTTTATATAATTTGATATGGTTTTTTATGTATTTAGAAAAATATGATACCGACTCACGAGCTAAAGTGACTTGGGCTGAGTTCGAAATTTTCTGGCCCGCATAAAAATAGATTTAACAAGATGGGTTGAAAATAAACTGGCTTGAAACGAGTTGATCCGATCTGGTGTGAGCTGGCTTGTAATACCCCGAATCCCGTAAGAAATATTTGATTATTTTAAGAGATAAATAATTAAATAAGAAGGGACATGAATAATAAGACGAGAGGGAATTTGGGTCGAGAGACGGCCTAAAATGGATAAAAGAGAAGTCGGACTAAAAAATGGGCTAGAACGGGTCAAAACGGACGAAAAATCGCACAAATACACATTTCTAGGACTCCAGACCGGTCGGTCTATGGTCCAGACCGACCAGACCAGAGATAATCGGGACCGGACCAGAGACAATCGGGACCGAACCAGAAAAACGAAGAAAATGAAAAAAAATCTGCGCCTGGACCGACCAGTCTGGGCTCGACGACAGAAAAATCTGTCGAGCTGGCATCTTTTGGTCGTGATTATTATGCGACATACCGAACCCACGCGCCACCAGCTGCCACCCCTGTTTAGTGCGCAACACGAACTGGCCTCCTGACCAACCCTAGAGTAAAAAGGCTCGTAAAAACCCGTCGTTTTAACCCCTCCAACAGGCCAAGTCGACCATATGTGCTCAGAAACCTGAAATCCGAAAAAGAGAGAAAGTGAGGGTGAGAGAAGTCGATTCAAGGCGAAACGAGCTAAGAACTTGCAGAGGGACATCCCTAGGAGGTTCCTGGGAAGTTTCACGATCAAAGACGACCCGTAGAACGCACACAAGCTCGGCAAAAAACGCACAACACTTGATTCCGCAGTGAGTGATTTTGAGTTGGGTTTGTGAGATTCAATTTTCATGATTAATGGTGTAGATTAGTGTTTCTGCAAAAATTAAGGACCTATGAATGTTAAATAATGAGTGGGTAGCAATCGGAACCGAAATCGGATTAAAATTTGGTCAAAAATGGCGAAAATCGGTCTGTATCTCGCGGGGAAGACGAAGTCCAGGTCCCAGACTGACCGGTCCAAGACTGGACCGACCGGTCTGGGACACGGACAGGTCGAACGGTTTGAAAATAGTTGGACCGACCGGTCCACACCCAGACCGAACGGTCTAGGATTAAAAATAAAGACGGTTGGTCAACACGTGTGGACCGGACGGTCTGCTTCTAGACCGATCAGTCCAGGCTAAAACAAAAAGAGAAAAATCCCAAAATGGCTTAACCGAACGGACTGGCTGCAACCCTGACTATAGGTTCAAACGGATCAAACTATATGATCTAGAAATCATATAGAAATCAGCATTGGTGGGTGTGTGGTTTCTGTGGTAGTACCAGTTGACGAATTTGGAGTCAGTACTATTACAGAAACGTGTGCGTGTAATACCAGTACCGATTGACGAAGTGGGGTCAGTACTGATGTATTTAGGTATATGATCTAGAAATCATATAGAAATCAGCATTGGTGGGTGTGTGGTTTCTGTGGTAGTACCAGTTGACGAATTTGGAGTCAGTACTATTACAGAAACGTGTGCGTGTAACACCAGTACCGATTGACGAAGTGGGGTCAGTACTGGTGTATTTGGGTGGATGTTTCTATAGCAGTACCGGTGGACGAAATGAGTCAATACTATTATAGGAATGTTTAGGAAAGCCAGTACCGGTTGACGATGTGGAGCCAGTATTGGTGGATTTGCGTGGTCATCTCTGCAATAGTATCGGTTGACGATGTGGAGTCAGTACTATTACAAAGGAATAGGGTGAATCTAATACCGATAGATGAATTGAGTCAGTACTAGATGAAACCGAAAGGAAATGGTACCTGATAGTGCCAGTTGATGAATAGAGTTAGTACTATCAAGTATTGATAATGTGTGGAATAATAATAATTAAAATTCAGGGAATTAAACTGGATTATTGAGTAAAGGTAAAATGGAGAACGAGATTATGGAAATTCTTGTATTGAGAGAT